CGCGGTGGAACTCGGCGCCTACTGCGGCTACAGCGCCGTTTTGGTCGGCCGCGAGCTGCGGCCCGGCGACGCGCTCGTGAGCCTCGAGGTCGAGCCGGCCTGCGTCGGCTTCGCGCGCGCCGTCGTCGCGCTCGCGGGCCTCGACGGCGTCGCGACCGTCGCGCTCGCGGGCGCCGACGAGGCGCCGGGCGCCGCGCTCGCGCGGCTCGGCGTGGCCGCGCCCGTGGACCTCCTCTTCCTGGACCACGCCAAGGACCGCTACCTCGCGAGCCTCGAGGACCTCGAGCCGCGGCTCCGGTCGGGCGCCGTCGTCGTCGCGGACAACGTCCTCGCGGTCGACGGCGGCGCGAGCCTCGCGCCCTACCTCGCGCGCGTGCGCTCGCCGGCCTACGCCGAGAGCGCGCTGCACGAGGCGCCCCTCGAGTACGCCGACGGCGGCGAGCGGGACGGCGTCGAGGTGTCGATCTTTCGCTAAAGCCCGGGCGGCGGTCTCGGGCGGCGCCGCGGGTTCGGGAAGAACCCGCGGCGGCCGCCGTCATGGCGCGCGCCGGGCGGGATCGGGGCCGTGGACGACGTCGACGAGCTCCCGGACGAGCGTGTGGGAGCCGTTGGCGAGCGACGCGCCGTGGCGGCCCTGGAGCACGCGGCCGTGGGAGCCGTCCCAGCGCCGGCGGACGCCGCCCGCCGCGTCGAGGACGAGGCGGCTCGGCACGCGGTCCACGGCGAAGGCGCGGATGCCGCGGCCGTCGAGCGAAAAGTGCGCGAGGCCCGGCCACCGGCCCGCGGCCGCGGCGGCGCCGCCGCCGCCGTCGTCGTCGACGCAGAGCGCCGCGGCGCGCACGCTCCCGGGGCCGAAGCCGTAGGCCGCCGCGTGGGCGTCGAGGTGCGCGACGAGCGCCGCGAGCTCGTCGAGCGTCTCGCCGCCGCGCACGCGGCTTCACGCGTCGACCGCGACCGCGGGCGCGGACCGGCGCGGGCCCGACCGCGCGTGGAACTCGACCACGAGCGCGCGCGTCGGCGGCGCGAGCAGCGACGACAGCCGGCAGCGCGCGCCGCCGGCGCCCGCGCGCCGCAGGACCGCGTCCAGGGGCGCGCGGCCGGCGGCGGCGGCGCGGCCCGCGGCCGGCGGCGGCGGCGGCGGCGCGGCCCGCGGCGCCGCGGCCCGCGGCGGCGCGGCTCGCGGCGGCGGCGGCGGCGCGGCCGCCGCCGGCGCGACGTCGAAGGTCACGGCGCGCGCCGCGGCGGGCGGAGGCGCCGGCGCGGCCGGCGGCGGCGCCGCGACCACGGGCAGCGGCGCCGCGGACCCTGCGCCCGCGATGGCGTCCTGCCGCTTCTGGCGCCGCCTTCGCACGAACTTGCGCCACGCGCGCCAGTACAGGTCGAAAGGGCTGCCCATCATATGCATCCGGCCGGCGCCATCATTCATAAATTCATCATGTTCAACGTGCCGTGCAACGCGAGGGAAGTCCGAGGAGGATGGCTGTGATCTCCCCTCCCGCCTGATGCTCCCGATCGCTCCCACGGCGGCTGCCCTCGCCCTGCAGCAGCGCGTCGGCGGGACGCTGCACGCGCTCTGCGCCGAATCCTGGGTGTTGCGCGTGCGCAACTTTCGGCCCGGCGGCGCGGACTTCGACGAGGCCTGGGCCGCGCCCTAACCCTAACCCTAACCCTAACCCTAACCCTAACCCTAACCCTAACCCTCCTGCGCGCACGCGCCCGAGCGGCGCGAGGTCGTCGTCTTCGGCCGGCGCTGCCTCGAGAACCGCTTCTCGCGGGCCTACGGCCGCGCCTACGCCTACAGCGGCCGGGTCGCGGCGGCGGCGCCCTTCGCCGAGAGCGCCGTCGCCGCGGAGCTCCTCGCGCGGCGCGACGCCGCGCGCTTCGGCGACGGCGGCGGCGGCGCGTTCAACGCGTGCCTCGCGAACTGGTACGAGCCGGAGCACCACATCGCGCGGCACCGCGACGACGAGCGCGCCCTCGACGCGGCCGCGCCCGTCGCGTCCGTGTCCTGGGGCGCGCCGCGGCGCTTCGCGCTCCGGCCGCGGGGCGGCGGCGAGTCGCTCGACCTCGTGCTCGACGACGGCGACCTCCTCGTCATGGGCGGCGCCTGCCAGCGGACGCACACGCACGAGGTGCCCAAGCCGCGGAGGAAGGACCGCCTCCCGCCCGGCCGCCGCGTCTCCTGGACCTTCCGCCGCTTCCTCGACGCGCCGCCGCCGCGGCGCCCGCGCGCGCCGCCGCGGCCGGAGAAGCGGCGGCGGCGCGACGGCGACGACCGAAGGCCATCGCGCTAGGGTCGACCACGGGGCGATGGCGTTACGCGATCGAATCGCGCGTCGGAGGGGCGGGGGAGGGGCGCGCGGCTCGCGCGCCGCGGGTCGCGGGGGGGCGACGCCTCGGGGGGCGCCGCGGGGGATTCTTGGCGGCCGCCGGCGCCTTGGTGCGGGGGCGGCCGGGGGCTCGGCCGCTTAGTAGCGGCCGCCGCCGCCGCCGTAGCCGCCGCCGCCGCGGTCGTCGCGGTAGCCGCCGCCGCCGCCGCCGTAGCCGCCGCCGCCGCCGCGGCGGTCGTCGTAGCCGCCGCCGCCGCCGCCGCGGTAGCCGCCGCCGCCGCCGCCGTAGCCGCCGCCGCCGCCGTAGCCGCCGCCGCCGCCGCCGTAGCCGCCGCCGCCGCCGCCGTAGCCGCCGCCGCCGCCGCCGCCGCCGGCGTCCTGCGTGATGCCGCCCGTGACCTGCTCCGCGCGGTCCTTGCCTGCGGGGCGTCGCGCGGTGGGCGCCCGCGCGCCCCGAGCCGTTCCCGAGGGCACGGACCTGGCTCGGACAGTTTCGGGGGTGTTTCCGTTCGGAGCGCGCGCCGTCTCGTCCCGTCCCGTCCCGCCTCGGCCGTCCCCGCTCGGTCCCGGGGGTCCCGCGCGTCCGGTCCGTCCAGGGCCCGCGGGTCCGTCCGTCCCGTCCCGGCCCGCGCCGCGCCCCGCGCGTCCGTCCCGGCCCGTTCCGCGCTCCGACCGAAGGGCGCGCCGCACGACGCGTCCCGTTCCGTTCCGCGCTCCGACCGACGATTTTCGCCGCAACACGTCTAGGATCGGCGGGTCGCGGGATAGCTACCGCGGCGCTCGTCGAAGACCTTGACGTAGTGCACCGTCGCGCCCTCGGAGAGCGCGTTGCCGTCCGTGATCTGCGACACGTGGCAGAAGAGGTCGTCGCCGCCGTCGTCGGGCTTGATGAAGCCGAAGCCGCGCTCGTTCCAGCGGCACGCGACGCCCGACGCCTTGCCGTAGCCGCCGCCGCCGCCGTCGCCGCCGTTGTCGCGCTCGCGGCTGCGGTCGCGGCCCCGGCCGCGGCTGTCCGAGCGGGAGCGGCGGCCTAGGGGACGGGGGCGTGCGCGCGCGCGCGGAGGCGCGTTGTTTCGGGCGCCGGCGGCCGACGCTCGCGGTCGGGCGAGCGGGAGCGCTTGGCGGGCGAGCGGGAGCGGGAGCGGGCGCGATCTTCGTCTCCCATGGTGTTCTTGAGTGCCTGCGGGGATGGGAGCGCGTGAGCGACAGTGCCGGCGCCCGGATTCGCCCGCCGAAGCGAAATTTCCGGGGATCGCGGCCGCGCGGCCACGCGAAAATTTCGCGCGCGCGCGTGGCGAGAGCCGGGGCGCCCGCCCCGCGACGGCATCGGCGCGCGGGGAACGCGCGCCGGGGTCTCTGCGCGTGCCGGTGGACGCCGGCGCGCGCAGTCTGTTGTCGATCGGCGAGTCGAGTGGCTGGAGGCAGTGGAGCGGACCGGACGATCCGCCGGGCGCCGCTGCGGCAGGCGCCGGCCGACTGTCTGGATGGACGGGCGCGGCGCAGACGACCCTGGCCCGGCCGGGCGGCCGCGATGGCCTCTAGGAGCTTGGCCTGCGCACCAGGCTGCGTGGTCCGAGCCGGGCGAGGCGGGCTGGGGCCGCGAAAAAAAGGGGCTTAGGGGACCTCGGCGAAGTTGCGCAGGGCCCAGCCGGCCCACTGCCTGCTGCCGTCGCTGCCGCCGCGCGCGAGGGCGACGAGGGGCGCGACGCCGCCGGCGGCGGCGATGCGCGCCCGGACGTCGTCGTCGAAGGCGAGCTCGCCCAGGGCCGCCGCGGCCTCCTTCTTCGCGGCGTCGCCGCCGACCCGGACGAGGTCGACGAGCGGCGCGATCGCGCCCGCGTTGGCGATGGCGGCCGCGTTGTCCGCGGAGCAGGCCAGGTTCGCCAGCGCCCGCGCCGCCTCGGCCCGGCCGCCGCCGGGCGCGCCGCCGCGCACGAGCGCGACGAGCGGCGCGATGCCGCCCGCCCACGCGATGGCGACGCGGTTGTCCGCGTTGCTCGTCGCGAGGTTCGCCAGAGCCCCGGCGGCCCACTCCCGGCCGCGGTCGCCGCCGGACCGCGCGAGCGCGACGAGCGGCGCGACGCCGCCCGCGGCCGCGACGCGGGCTTTCGCGTCGACGTCGCCGGCCGCGAGGTGGCCGAGCGCGCGCGCGGCGTGGTCGCGCGCGCCCGACTCCCGGCCCCGGGCGACGAGCGCCACGAGCGCCTCGACGCCGCCGGCGGCGGCGATGGCGAACGGGTTGTCCGTGGCCTCGTGGAGCGCCGCGAGGTCCGCGAGGGACTTGGCGCTGGAAACCAGCGCGTCGCCGTTCCGGAGATTGTCCACGAGCTCGGCGATGGACCGGTGGCCCATGCGGCAGCAGGAAACGCACCGCCGCTTGCTTTGTTGCACAGGCAGCACGCGGGCAGCGCGCGCAAGCACCCGTCCCACAAGCGTCTGATAAAGCACGCTGTGTTCGAAGCGGAATCACACGCGGCCCGCGGCACTGTTCAAAGTGCTGTTCAACGACTTGTTCAACGTGCCACGGAGATGGCTAAGAGATCACAAGCAACGACTCGTCCGACGTACCGAAGAGTAACCGAAGAAAAAGCACGAGAGAGCGCGCCCTTACTTACCCCGGGTCGCCGCGCGCCGCGCGCGGGGGGGGATCGGCGGTGCGGCGGCGCCGCCTCACCATGGCCTCGTGAAGAGCTCGCCGTTGATGGACGTCGTCGCCTCCGCGCGGTAGGAGCCGCTCTTGTGCGTCGTGGGGACGCGGGGCAGGCGGATCTTGGATACGGCGTCCCCGGCCGCGTCGACCTCGAAGACGAAGGCCGGGTGGCCCGTCGTCGCGTCGTCGTCGACGACGACGGCCGTGAAGGCGACGATGTAGGACTCGTTGCCGCGGTCGCGGTCGAGCTTGGCGACGTAGCCGCCGTCGAAGTTGAAGAGGTCCTCGGCCTCCTCGTTGGCGATGCCCGCGCCCTTGCGCAGCGGGAACTCGAACTCCCAGAAGAGGCTCGCCTGCTTCTTCGCGTGGTCGAGGCGGTAGCCGACGGCGCGCGAGAAGCACGTCGTCGTCGCGCCCGTGCAGTTGGGCCGGCTCTTGCCGTCGTCGACGAGGAAGAACTCGTCCTTGGCCGTGGCGACGACGGCGTGGGGCTCCCAGAACTTGGAGCCCTCCGCGTCGAAGCGGTAGACGTCGAACGCGCCGCCGTCGCCGACGGCGGAGCTGTCGGACGCGAGCGCCCACCGCGCGCCGGACCCGTCGGCCTCCATGGAGAGGAGCATCTGGAGGTTGCGCAGGGTGATGAGGTAGTCGCCGTCCATGCCCACGGCCGCCGACGACCCGTGGGACCACTCGATGCCCCGCGACTTGCGCTCGTCCTTGCACTCGAGGTCGACCCAGCCGTAGGACGACGACAGGTACGCGTTCGACACGGGGTCCACGTAGTCGAAGAGGTCGTAGACCGTCTCGACCTCGTTCGTCGCCCGGTCCCAGCGCACGAGCTGGTCGCCGACGTAGGACACGGGCGTGTCGTCGCCGTGCTCGCTCTGCCAGGTGGACGCGAGCTTCGGGTTCAGGGGCTCGAGCGAGTCGTAGTTCCCGAAGGTGTCGCGCACGTTGTAGGCCAGCGTGATGGCCTTGGACGAGTTCCCGTCGAGCTTCATCTCGTGGTTGAACTGCGTGAAGCCCAGCGGGTCGCCGTCGCACGCGTTCTCGTACTGGACGCGCATCTCGCCCACGGGCGTGATCTCCAGGAGGTAGGAGTTCGTGTAGTTCCCCTCCTCGTAGTCCATGGCCTCGCGCATGATGACCATGTTCCGCGTCTTCGTCGACTGCTGGAAGACGCTGTAGAGCGTGCGGTTCGTCGGCATCGCGTGGTACCAGACGACGTAGCCCTCCTGGTCGAGGGAAAGCAACCCGAACCACTTCGTCGACGTCTCGTCGCCGACGATGTGCTGCACCGTGACCAGCGGGAAGGACGGCTTGCTCCCCGTGACCTCCGCGAAGGGCCCGACGTCGAGCTCGTCGAAGCCGAGGCTCCCGGTGGAGATCGTCGCCTCGTGGACGAAATGCGTCCGCGCGCCGGACCGCACGTAGACGCGCACGTCGTGGGCCGCGTTCAGCCGCAGCCGGCAGAACGTGATCTGCGCGCTCGGGGCCGCCGCCGTGACGTCCGCGGCCTCGCTCCAGATCCAGAGGCCGTCGGAGTCGGAGGGCGTGTAGCTCACGGCGACGCGCGCCGTCGCGTGGCCGCCGCTCCAGCCCGTCACGTCGACGTCCGCGAGGTAGCACAGGATGTTCTTGTCGTAGGGCTGGCTGAGCGCCACGGACGCGGCGAAGGAGCTCCCGCCGCCCGCGCCGACGAGCGCCGCGAGGGGCGCCCAGAACCGCGCCGGCGCGTCGCGCGCGAGGACCGCGAAGCCCATGACCAGGCCGAAGACGCCGACCATGGCCGCGGACCCGCGGCGCCGAGCGCGGGCCTCGTCGTCGCTCCGGATGGGTTCGTAACCCATGGCGGCGACGCCGCGGGGCACCCGACTTTCGCGTGCGCAGGTCGGGCCGCCTCCCGCCAGGGGCAGCCTCGCGTGGATACGATCATCTTGCGCGATGATGCTTCCGGCGCGGTGCACCGAGCGCCGCTGCCCGATGGGCGCGGCTGTGCGACTATGATCACGTCGGCCCCATCGTCTGCTTCGGCTGCCTAAACGTTCACACGGCGCCGCCTTCGAGGCCCGCGGTGCCGCCGTGAGACCCTCGCGCGCGGCGCCTCGCCGGCGGTTTCGCACGCCCATCCCGCGCCCGGCCGGACGGACGCGCGGCCGTGTCCGGCCTCGGCGCCATGTACCCGGGCACGGGCAAGCGGAAGAAGCCCGAGCTCACGTTCCAGGAGCCCAGCGAGCGCTACAGCGACTCGCGGCCGGGGACGGCGGCGAGCGACTCGCGGCCCGGGTCCCGCGGCGGCGGCGACCGCTGGACGCGGCCCGGCTCCGGCGGCTCCGGCGGCTCCGGCTCCGGCTCCGGCGGCTTCTCGCGGCCCGGGTCGTCCGGGAGCAGCGCGCCGGGCAGCCGGCCCGGCACGTCGGAGCGGTCGGCGTCGGGCCGGCGCTCCGGCGGCGCGAAGCGGCGGCCCCGGGGCGGCCCGCGGCCGAAGACGGAGCACGGCCGGCGGAGCCGCGAGTCGGCCGAGGAGCTCGTCGCGCACCAGCGCGCGGCCGAGCGGCGGCCGAACACGCCCGTCTTCGACGACAACTTCCAGCGCGCGCGCGCGATCCTCCGCGAGCGCGCGCGGACGCACAAGCGCATGCGCGCGCCCGGCGCGCGGCCCCCGGGCGACGGCATCCAGCTCGAGATGTCGATGCTGCCGCGGCTCGGCAAGCTCTACATCAACCAGTACATCCACGCGTCCATCGCCATGCTCAAGCGCTACGAGGAGGACCAGCGCGAGGCGCGGCAGCGCCACGCGAACAACCTCAGGGGCTCCGCGGACGCCAAGGACCCGGACACGGGCCGCGAGCTCGACGTCTTCGAGCGCGCGGACCTCGACGTCTTCCACCGCGAGCCCCTCATGTCCCAGCTCGTCAAGGCCAAGGGCCTCGCGCCCATCCCCAAGGCCGTCGCCCCGTCCGGCGCGGGCCAGTCGAACGTCGAGGTCCGCAAGTCGCAGGGCGCGGAGAACGTGCTCCGCGGGCGCCTCGGCGCGCTCGCGCGCCTCGCGCGCGACGACGCCGTGCTCTGCCAGATCAAGTTCTGCCACGAGTCCATCGACGACGACTGGTGCGCGTCCACGGCCCAGGCCATGAAGTTCAACACGCACCTCGACACGCTCGTCCTCGTCGGCAACGGCATCACGGACGCGAGCGGCGTCCAGGTGGCCCACGCCGTCGCGCACCACCCGGCGTGCGCGTCCGTGGCGCTCGGGGGCAACGCGCTCGGCGACGACACGGCGCGCGCGTTCGCGGACGCGCTCCGCGAGTCGGCGACGCTGCTCTCGCTGAACCTCGCCGCGAACAAGTTCCACTACGACCACTACCGGGACAAGGCGCGGCGCAAGCGCGGGGGCCTCGGCGCGCTCGCGTACCTGCGCAAGCTCAAGCGCGAGCGCGAGGCCGCGTCGCGGCCGAACACGGCGCAGGTCGAGGCGCTCCACGACGCCATCGAGACCGTCGACGCCTACGACGCGGGCATCGAGACGACCTACGAGGGGCTCGACGGCTTCAACCCCGTGGGCTGGGGCGCGCCGAGCGACGACCCGCTCTACAACCCCAAGTCCGCGACGATCGGCCACCGGGGCTGCGCGCAGCTCGCGCACGCGCTCGCGGGCACGAAGCTCACGAGCCTGGACCTGTCGGGCCAGAGCGTCGAGGACGCGGGCGCCAAGGCGCTCGCGCGCGCGCTCCACGGCGACTACGAGCACCGGTGCGCCGCGGCCCTCAAGTACCTGTCCCTCGACGGCAACGGCGTCGGCGACGACGGCGCCATCGCGCTCATCGACGCCTGGACCAACGTCTTCTGCCCGCTCCTCGCGCTGCGCCTCGCCATGAACCGGTGCACGGACGCGGCGGCGATGAAGCTGAGCGCGAACGTCGCGCGCTACGGCCCCCGCGTCCTCAAGGGGCGGAAGACGCTCCAGTTCGTCGACCTCAGCTTGAACCACGTCGGCCAGGCGGGCTGCTACGCCGTCGAGGCGACGGCGAAGAAGCTCGGCTACGACGCGCTCTACTCCGTCTTCGGCAACCCGGGCTTCTCCGGCGCGCGCGACGCGGCGCGGGCGAAGACGCCGGACCCCTTCGCGGCCCCGGGCCACGCGAGGTCCGAGGAGGAGGTCTACCACGAGGCCATGGTCAAGCTCGGGCGCAACCTGCGGCCCATCCGGTCCGGCGGCACGGGCCAGACGGACTCGAAGACGAACCTGCTGAACCTCCGCGTGCCGACGCCCTTCCTGTCGCCGCGCGCGCGCGCCATGCTCTCGCCGCGGTCCCAGTACGACCTCGCCCACGGCTCCGAATCCTACCTGCGAACGACGTCGCGCGCGGCCGCCGCGCGCGAGAAGCGGCGCCAGCAGACCTTCACGCCGCTCCACCAGCGCAAGAAGCAGCTCCAGCGCGAGGAGACGGGCCGCATCAAGTACGCGCCGGACCCGTGCCTGCCGCCGCTGTCCTTCCAGAAGGACGCGCGCAACCTGAACCGGTTCAACCGGCGGCGCCGGCTCGCGCGCATCGAGAACGAGAAGCGCAACGAGGAGCTCCGCGAGGTCAAGGCCAAGCTCGTGAAGTCCATCTCGAGCCAGCGGCTCCGCGACGCCATCGCGGGCAAGGAGCACGACTCCGACGAGGAGCGCGAGCGGCGGCCGGGCGCCAAGGCGACGCGCGCCGTCGGCGACCTCTACAAGTACTTCCCCAAGGTCCTCGACATCGACGGCGCGCCCTACGGCCGCATCGACCTCTCCAAGGACGGGCCCCGCTTCTCCGCGAAGCGCAAGGAGGGCGCCGCGAGGCCCGCGAACATGCTCAAGGCCGCGGCGAAGTCGACCTTCTCCATGCGCGCCATGTTTAACCAGGACTAGTCTCCATGGCGGGCTCTATCATGTGCTCCATCGAGCGACTTCGCACCACGCCAAGAGGCGCCCGGTGTTAAAAGCCGCGGTACCCTACGCCGGGTTCCTCGCTCGCGGGCCCGGCACCCACCCACCCACCTCCTGGCCAATCAGGGACCTCCTTTTCGTTAGTTACCTTCAAGTTGCCGCTCGCCGAATCGCCACAACGCGCGCGCGCGGGACCGCGGGACCGCGCGGCGCCGCGGCGAAATGCTCGCGTCCTCGTGTCTGCTGCGCGGCGAGGGCCGGAGCCGGCGCTGCCACGGGCGCACGCGCGCATCGAGGCGCGACGAGCGGACCGCCAAGGCGCGTGTCGCCGGCCCTACGAGGGCGACGACTAGCGGAGCCGCCGCGCGGCGCGCTGCGCGGCGCGCGCGCGCGCGCGCGCGCGCGGGACCTACCAGTAAGCACTCAGTACACCCTGCGATTTCCAAATCCGGGCCCCGGGCCCCACCCACCCACCTCGGCGTGAGGTTCGAATCTTTTGTCCGTGGTCGCCTCGCACCACGCTCACATTGATGTGTGGAAGCCGAGGTGTTGACGCGCTCCTGCGGTGGCAGAAGCGCGCGTCCGCTCTCGCGAACCGCCGCGGCCTTCCGCAGCTGCCTCGCAGCTGCCTCGCAGCTGCCTCGCAGCGCAGCGCAGCGTCGCGCAGGTCGCAGCGCCGCCGCAGCGCTCCGCGTCCGTCCCTCCGCCGCGCCGCCGAGGCCATGGGCGCGCTCGCGTCCAAGGGCGACGCCGCGCCGGCGCCGGCGCCGGCGGCCGGGCCGGCCGTGGGCAAGTCCGGGAAGAAGATCTGCTGCTCCTGCCCCGAGACGAAGAAGGCGCGCCGCCGCGCCCGCGCCGCGCGCGCGCGCGGCGCTCAGCCGCGCGCCCCGCCGCAGCCGCGCGACGAGTGCGTCGTGCTCAAGGGCGAGGCCGCGTGCGCGGAGCTCATCGAGGCGCACAAGGCGCGCCCGCCCGGCGTTCGCCGCGCGCCGCGCGCGCGCCGCGCTCGACCGCGCGCGTCCCCCCCGCAGCGGTGCCTCCGGCTCGAGGGCTTCCGGGTCTAGCGCGCCGAGCCCTCGCTTGGGTGTGCTTAATAACTCGAACGGGACGTCCTCGTGCGCCTAGAGGACGACGTCGAGGAGGGCCATGGACGTCCGCGTGCGCCTAGAGGACGAGGTCGAGGAGGGCCATGCGCGCGAAGAGCCCGTTCCGCATCTGGCGGAAGTAGGCCGCGCGCGGGTCGGAGTCGAAGTCCGCGCTGATCTCGTCGACGCGGGGCAGCGGGTGGAGCACGGCGCAGGACGGCTTCGCGGTTTTCATGAGCTGCGCGTCGACGACGTAGGAGCCCCGGACCGCCTCGTAGGCCGCGGCGTCCGGGAACCGCTCCTTCTGGACGCGCGTCACGTAGAGCGCGTCCGCGTCGACGAGCGCGGCCGCGAGGCTCGGCGCCTCGGCCCGCGTCGCGGTGCCCGCGTCGACGGCGGCGGCGACGCCCGCGGGCATGGCCAGCTCGGGCGGCGCGACGAAGACGAGCGCGACGTCGAACGCGGCGAGCATCTTGGCGAGCGAGTGGACCGTGCGGCCGTGCTTGAGGTCCCCGACGAGGACGACGGTCTTGCCCTTGAGGCAGGCGCGCGGCGGGAGCGCCGGCGCGCCGGCCGGGCTCAGCTCGCGGCAGAGCGTGTAGAGGTCGAGCACGGCCTGCGTCGGGTGCTCGCCGACGCCGTCGCCGGCGTTGAGGAGCGGCAGGCCCGGCGGCAGCGCGCCCGCGGCGCGGGCCGCCGCGCCGGCCTCCGGGTGGCGCAGCACGACGACGTCCGCGTAGCAGCCGAGGGATCGCGCCGTGTCCTCGAGCGTCTCGCCCTTCTTCGCGCTGCTCGTCGACTCCGCGACGCAGATGACGGACCCGCCGAGGCGCAGCATGGCGGCCTGGAAGGAGCAGGACGTGCGCGTCGACGGCTCGTAGAAGACGTTCGCGAGCACCGCGCCGGCGTGGCGCGCGCGGGCCGCACCGCGGTCCAGGAGGCGCAGCTCCTCGGCGCGCCGCAGCACGAGGTCGAGGCCCGCCTCCGTGAACTGGGTCACGGAGCAGAGCGACGCGCCGCGCCACGCCGCGGCGTCGCCGGAGAGCGTCGCGGGCGCGAAGGCGGCCATGGTTGTTGTCGCGGGCGGGCGGGAGAGCGTCGACCGGTTGGGAGAGCGCCAAGCTTGAACCAGTTCTGTCTTAGCGCATTAGGCGACGCACCCCGCCTACGCGCCTGCCTTGGGCGGACGCGGTTCTTTGCATGCACGCGCGTCGCTCATGAAGGCCTTCATGAGCGTCGCTGGCGCGGCGGTCGACGTCGAAGCCTCGTCGAGCCCGGCGTCGATGCACGCCACCCGGGACGCGGCGGCTGCCCCTGGCGCCAGAGGCCGGCGTCGAAGTTCCGCGGAACGCCCAGCCGTGACGAGTGGAGGAGCGGGGATTTAGGACGGGCGCGCGCCCGGGGGGCGCGCGTCGTATCGCGGGGGCGTATTGTCATTGGGTGTTCGGCGTCGTCGCGCGCGGCGCCGGAT